AAAATCTAGAAAATGACCGATGTGAGCTGCTTTGTGACTGTCAGTACTTTGTTTTTGGTGTAATACATTCAGCATGGCAGAAAGGAGAAAAATTTCCAGTATCTTCATTAATAGTAAGTATGGTTGTTGATAATGATGATGAAGATAATGATGATGATGATGATGATGATAATGATGATGATGATGGTGATAATAAAAAACCTAAATTAGATGGAATTGATAGCTACTATCGTCTGATAAGGTTGTTTGTGGGTGCAACTAAATGTATGACTGTCTTGATTCTATTTTAAAACGCGGTGGCAGCTCTAGCTAAGGGAGGGGCTAGGGATAACAGGTCCCCCTATCATAATTAATAATTGGACCAAAAACCAAGTTCCACAGAACCAAGACACTGACACAGCAATTATTTACAGGACCTTCCCACCCACGCCCCTTTCCTCACCCATCCATCCGCTTTGTTTCAATCAACATCTGGGCCCACCACTGAAGTGCACAATATTTCAAGATTATTCTGAGATTTCTTAAATTGAGTATTGACACTTCTTGGTGAAATTCACTTCTGTCATGAACACCCTCTTTTCCTGCTTTAATTTCCTCTTTGCTGTCCCATTCCATTAAAGCATGTGGTGGACTTTTTTTTCATACATTTATATTGTCATCACCTCCAACAAATAAGTAAACATGCAACAAAACCAAGGCAACACTTTTCTTTCCCCTTTCACAAATGCCTTCCCGTTTTTTCATATTCCACTGGAAAAAAATAACTTGACACTATTAAAATCTTCCAAAAAGTACCAATAATCTGACAGCAGCAAGAATACCATAATAATTGTTTTTTATCATTTTAGCCCCAGTTAATTTCTCACCTTAGCAAACAAGGTTTCACGACTGTCTGCCACAATGTTGAAGAGCCATGGTTTGACTCAAGTAAAGACTTCATGAATATAAATATCATCATTTCATCATGCACGATATCACAAGGTGGTATTACTGTGGAGCTGCTGGTATTTTATGACAGGGATTCATATCTGTGGCATGGACCACTTCAGGGTTATAATGCACTGACGATTGCTGATAAAGATTCTGGAGCATTCAACAGGTCAGCTTATTGATATAATAAGAATCTGCATACTGCTAAAAAAAAATGGTTAGGTGGCGCAGTGGGGAGAGCACTTGCCTCCAAGCAATGTGGCCTGGGTTCGATCGTGGCGTCGATGCCATAATATATATGGGTTGAGTTTGTTGTTGGTTCCCTTCCTTGCTCTGGGAGGTTTTTCCCTGAGTACTCCAGTTTTCCCTTCTCCTTAAAAACCAACACTTCCAATTCGATCTGGAACGCACAGACACGTTTCAGCAAGTTCTTAAGAACTCCTAAGTGCTCTGTGGGTAAACAAATTACAATTTAATATTTTTCTTAGGGGCTGTCTCATGACTAGCTAGTTTGTTTGTTTGTTTGTTTTTGTTAACAATGCCACACATATACACTATGAAACTTGACAAATTACCTGTGAATGAAAAAAAAAAAACACAGGTTTTGTGTCAAATAAATATTTGTTCCAGGCATGTCCCTTTCAAAATCCTTTTTTATAACAATAAAAGCAGTAATAACTACATTAAAAATGTTACAAAAAAAAGATTAGTAAATGCCGCAGTGGTTTTGTGGACGGTGCTTATCAAGAAAATCTCTGTTCCTCTGTTCGTCAATACGCGCTTATTCAAGGGCAGCGCTCTTTTGAGTGAGTACCTTTATGCCAAAAAATTCCCACAACTGTATTTGTCAGGTTAGCCAGTAAACAGAGGACGTATTTCCAGTCGCCAAGACTGAAAAAATGTCTGCCGTCGCAGTGGGGGCCATTGTGAAGTTGCGAAAGGGTCTTATTTGATATTCGCCAAGTGTAGCTTCATAATGTAACACTACCCCATCACCATGTACCACCAAACGATGATGATAATCTTTATGGCCTTATTCCCACTGTGGTTCATTTCTTCATCAAAGTTTCATCGTTGGATGTTCACGTTTTTCTGTTACAGGTTCTCAATTAAGGAAGCGATTGTCGATGGAATTCGCCTGAATCTCCCTTCGGATCCCGACAAACTAGCTTCACAGCTAAAGCAGTCACGTTTCAAAGGATGTAACCTCACAAATGCTCGACATTATTACAGTAAATATGGCAGAGACGTATCGCCAGACGCTGTGCTATTTAAAAGTAAAGCTGTAGAAGTGCTATCTATAGCCATTAAGGCGCTGAATCGACTTGGTGTAAGATATTGGCTTAGTAGCGGAACTTGTTTAGGTAAGAAACGTTTGGATTGAAGGTGATTTCTTTTTATTGTTGTTAGTTCGTTTTTTCATCGCGATAATTAGTTCTTTTATTTCAGTTTGGAATTATTACCTGTTATGTTTTGATTAAAATCACTGAACTAGGTCACCATT